ATCGTCTCACTCAGCACTCGTGTAATATCTATGTCTCCACTTGTTGCCCCAAAGCTTTGTTTTTGTATATATATTTTACTAACTACTTTGGATCTTTCTAAATGATTTTTACTTATACACAATACACTCATCCATAAAGACCGCATTATACATAGCAGAGACGACAATGAAACCACCTTATGATTTCTCTTAATTTTACTACTTCCAGCTTGACTTTTGCTTGTTAAAACTTAAATTGTCAGCCACCATTAAAATCTCATCCATCATAAATTTGTAAATTAGAGCTCGTAAAAGGATTACCGCCGTCTTTTTCTAACTAAATGTGGAACATTAAATTATAAAGACGCTCATAAGAAGGAAAAGTGGCAATAGCGGAATTAAAGATGATTATTCTTCAATCATGGACGCTTCTACTTTATAGAAACATTAATGAAGATTATTTTAACTACCAACTGTTTAAACTGTTATATGGTCTCATGAAAAATAGAAACTATGGGGTGTTCCTCAATGTTCCTCAGTGTTCCTTTAAAGAACCGGATCTGCTTGTTGGACTATTGAACATAGAGAAAATATAAATATTATGAGATTATTTTTATGGTCTAACAATGAAGTGATTAGCTAGAGGGTTCTCCAATGATCTATTCTTGGCCCTCAAAAACCGGAAAAAGCCCAAGTACACTAATTACAAGCTGATTGTTGAGAAAATACGAATACTATAAGTGGTATTTTATGGTCAAAAGAAAAAAAGAAATGATTAGGGAGTTCCTCAATGATCTATTCTCGGCATTTTAGACACATGTTATGATACTTTTTTTCCGCCTTCGAATCAACAAAGCCGTGAATAACTTTGATAATAAAATATACACAATGAAAAAATACATGCAAAAACTTGACTTAGAGGAGTCATAGCTACGATTATCGTGTTATTCAAAATACATGATAAACAATCARAGAAAGTTTTCGTTGGTTGTATTTTTATTGAGCATTAACGTAAGGATAATAGACCCATTCAGCATGGCTCAATGTTGTCCCATTTTAGACCACATGACCATTCCCTTGAGTATTTTATAAGCAATAGACCCATTCAGCATGGCTCAATGTTGTCTCATTTCAGACCACATGACCATTCCCTGAGTATTGTATGAGCAATAGACCCATTCAGCTAACAGCTGGCTATCCAAGTTATTATTGGCTTTGGCAGAAATTGTATATATATTGCTGGCTTTACTCGTAAGTGCTATATAGCGCTAGATACAATGATATAATATGCAAGAGCATTTAACAAACGAGGTCATTCACTCATTTGGTTAATTTTTGAGCTACATGGGTGAACCTTGAAGGGTTGAAGTTTAATGGGTCTAGTCATATACCCAAGAGTTCCTGGCTTCCAAAAATACCATTCTTTCATGTCAAAAGAAACACAGTGAGAATAGGAAATCATCTGCTGCAAAAAAGAGGCTTCCAATTAAACAATCAATGTCCAGTTGAAGCAAACACACTTCGTCCAACCAAAGGTTAATTGAATTTTTCCCGTTAAGAGAAATTACGTCCGCTTTTATAATCCAAATTTGTCACATTTATGGATGGTGTGATTGAAAAAGAAATCTTAAAAAGTGGTCTCCATGGTAACAAGGTTGAAAAGTACCGTTGCTAAGCAGCAGCAATGTCGCAGGGATTAATGTGTATTTCAAGGTTCCCAAGCAGCTGTAAGTGTATTTTTATGGGTTTAATTTTTTCGTTCACAAAATTAGTAAAATCAATTTGTCGTGTGAATTTTCTTCCTGCCATCGAAAATTACTAACTTTTTTTTTTGCGTTTAATTTCAAAGTAAAATATAATGGAAAGAATGGCTGGTCTTTCTCTGAGAATACTTAGAAAACGATTTGAGTCTAATATATATATATATATATATTTATATAAGATTAAAATGTGAAAAATCTCTATGCATAAGGTAGGATTCGAACCCACCAAAACAAAAAGAAAAAAAAAATAAAAAAGGAAAAAAAAATTGAAAAAAAAAAAATTGAAAAATTTCAAATGTTGACTCGATTCTAATGTGCCATACCCCCGAGACATCCGCAGAGCTGAGGCGTCGTATGGACTTCGGACCTGACGGCGATTAAATCCTTCTGCCCTTGGGTGCACGAATTACGCAAGAAAATGTTCTAGCCGAAGCATCAGGGGAGAGACCAGCCGGCCCCCAGACCATATCGGCTGATCCCTTGCATCTCTGCAACGCACGGAATTGGTTAAAAATATAATATTAAAAAGTCTAGTCCATCGGCCTGCATTGTCTTCAAGGCTATTGTTGTGATAATTTCATGAAACCGTGGTCTACTGGAAAAAACTAACTTGAGCTTCCAAAACACTAAGTCAAGTCCGGTTAAGGAGGGTTAGTACTTGGATGGGTGACCTAAACGTTATACCTGGCAAGCATTCGCGTCCCAATTTTTTTTTTTTTTTTTTTTTCAGTTTTAAAATATTAGAATATATGTCAAACTTTACTGGTTTTTTTTCTTTCTTGCACTTCCTAAAGGGCTAGGTGCCCTATCCCTAAGTATATATCCAAATGCTTTGCCACGTCTCCAAGCAACAAATAAGCATGTATGGTAGTCCTCCTTGTCTGTTGTGGCCCCAGTCGGACTCAAGAATGACACTTTCATAGTATTACAAAGTAGCTGCTCCTTGTAAAAAATCTTTTCAGTTTCACGACGTTTGCCTAAAGCTTTCGAGAGTTTCAGCCGTGACATGAACTTCATTTACAGGAATGCATTGTTTAGCTTAGATACAAAAACACCATATAAGGGCATTATGAACATGGATGTTTGTAACCCAAGCTAGACCACAATGCATCATGTTCACTATCTCAGAGATCTGGGCCTGGTTGTACGAAGGGTGAATAGCGCTATCGTATCCGATAGATAAATCCTTATCCAGTTGATAAGTCGATGCTGTTATTCAATAAATTTATCCACTGGATGAGATTTCCGTCGGATAGCGCTATCCACCCTTCGTATAACCGGGCCCTATGGCACAATTTGAGTGAAATCAGGCCTAAGAACTGTTTCCATCTCAAACCATATGTCAATCTCTTAAGTATTATTCCTTTGATTGAACAGTAACGCTCGCGAGAAGATGAAACGTGGTCTAGATGGAAGCGCAATGATTTGATCTACTAAAGGGATTTAGGACAGGTCATGTGACCAAGAACTAGACGCAACACTAAGTCAGACAGGATAGTTCACAAATATGTTTCATCTTAATAACAGTTTAGATTTCTTAATTTAAGGCGAGTCCTCTCAGTCCCAATCTGCGTCCACATATAATGCCAATCACTTCCTTCGTTAGATTAACTTCTGTCACTAGCGATGTAAACACTGTAACACTTTGCGCAGTGCTCTGCCGATCATTTATCTTTTTTTTACTTCACTAGATAGCGCCGACTAAACCAATCAAGAGTTGAAATCCGGAACTTCTGTTAAACGATTTTAATGGCCATGGAAATTGTCATAATTGTTTGTATTAGTAAACAAAAGTTTTGTTTCTTGAAATGGCTGTCAGAATAGATGTCTGGCGTCTGTGTTGTATTTGTATATTCTCATGCCGGCGCGCAATGCGGATAACGAAGCTATTTGGTTAAACTACGGTCCCCCAAAACTCACTCAACAAGACGTCTGGGGCATTACTATATCACCGTAAGCTTACTAAATCCATACCTAGGCGACGATTATAAAAATTTATCAACGGAAAAAGACGGGGGGAAATCGATGAAGGTAGTTACTAGGTAGATGGATTTTGTTCAGTACTTTTGTTAAAAGCCTTTTGAAATGGTGAAATAAAATTGGGCGTAAATCTGGAGCTAATGTGAAGTTCCTATAATAACACGCTATCGCCTGTAAGCCTCATCCACAGAAGTTAAATCTGTATTTAATTTCAATCAATTCTCAATAAATCAAAGTCTCAAATAACCGCCATCTTTACAGAAAGTTAAATGAGAATTTCACGGTTTTATCATTGAATTCTTGTCTTCGTCTTAATGATTGAGATGGAAAAAAGTCTGCGAATTAAGAACGAATAAAGACGGCAAAATGATCAATTATAAATCCAATAATAAGTATTTTCACCATTAGACTCGCTAATTACCAAAAGATTGTTTTTTGAGTTATTTGTTTTATTACTTTCCAGCTTCAAAATTGACCTTACATTTGGTGTTATAAATTCATCGAATTTTTTCCACTTTGGAACCAGATATCTTTAGAAAAAAATTGTCTTTGTTTTGCAACGCAACAGTACTGTCATCGACTCAAAGCCCAAGTTTTTACGAAAGGTGTACTTTCATTACTAAATATAAATATAAATTATTTTTCTACTCGGAGCAGAAATGAAATATTTTTTAAACTTGGCAAGATTACTTTAAAAAAAGCGGTTTTTCTGTAGTTCCTTTTTGTTTGTGTTGCTACTTTTTTTCAATCATAAAACTCGTAAATATTAACTTGAATGGTGAGAAAAACCTGTTACGTAAAGAATTTCCAATTTGCCGACAAAAAGTCATTCATTTCCCCCTCTAAATTACTATTTTTTCAATATATTTTAGCTTATATAAATCCCCTTTATTATAATATGTTTTATATTCATATCATTTAACGCAATAATTTCACGGTCAAAATACTCGCGTTCTTGTTACATGGTGAGTTTATTTTTAGCTTTTCATTGAAATCATGTTTTCGTATTCAATTTTTCTTTCCTGTGATAAACAATTTATAATTCTTTTTTGTATATAATGTGTTTTCAGATCACTTCTCTTACAAGAGTGCTTGAGAACGACACCCCTTTTAGAATTTTAGTGTTGTATGAGTCCCACAGCTATTTCAAAAAAAGTTTAGCCTACGAAAAATAAATGAACATTGCATATTGAACTGCACTTCGAGTTATCGCGTTTAAAAAAATTTTCTGCGCTTAAAATCGTGCATGGATTACATAGATATATCCAATATACAAAATACAGAATACTTTCCTTTACTTTTGTCTTAAATTTGAACAGAATACAACTCAATATGCAGCATTCAGTATAACAGACAACCCGGCTTTTTTAAAAATAGTTGCCGGCTACTAGAGCTCGAAAAGTGTCCCTAAGGGGCAGCAAAATGAGCAACTGAACTAATAAAGTTAACCGCGCTGTTGTTGTGATCTACGTTGGAACTTGCTGAAAATAGGTAGCAAAACATACTAGAAGGATACGAAGAACCTGCTAGGATAGGCATTTTATACCTTTAAACCCCTATAGTGCTAGACTTTTATCTTAAAAAGCTCCTCACAAGGTTAATCTTGAAGTTCTCGCTGTCATTAACAAAAGGTGCATAGAGTTTTCTTTCTATAAGCATATTTTTTTCAGGCTTTAATATACCGTTTATATATTTTGCAGAAACAACAAATTCGCAATTTGAATATTTTTTCCCTCAAGATATAAAGTCCTTTTTCGCGGATGAATCTGAAAAAGAAAGAGAAAAAAATAATGATTAAACTTAGCAAGTATTTATATTTGAGTCTCCAAATAATATATAATAGCGATTAGTGTATTTACTTTCAAGACATTACTAGCTGCCATAAATAAAAGAATTAAGATGGTGGACTCTCAACCTCTTTGCGAGTCATGTTTGCATGTCACTTGTGATTTCATTTTCTCATAATTTGGTTGGAATTAAACTCTACAAATCGCTACAAAAAAAAAACTTTCCACTTTAAACAGCCCACGAGGTGATTCCAGGATATAGATTTTAATGGACGAACTCTTCTAAACCCTCATTTTAGTCAGAAACGTTTGATCGATCCACGCTTAATAACTAAAAATATCGTATTCTGATGTGGAATATATTATTATGGGGTTATTTATCTGCCTGGCTGTCGAGGGCTCAAATAATGCGAAGTGAGCTACGGTCGCTTAGAGACGGCAATCTAAAACCAAGTAAAACTCTCCAAAAGTCAATTTAAAATACTGCGGAAAATTCAGTGTGTATTTCTTGGCTTTCGCCATTTTATTGGGCTTATTTTTGCGGGTTYTTCATGGCAAATTAATCAAGAGACGAGTGGAGTACCGTGTTGTTCGATCCAAGCCAGGTGGCGCGCACCTCTCCAAGCATATGTTGTTTTCAACATTGCAGCTGCAGTGAAAATTCGAGCTATACCGGATGAGAAGGACCAACCCAAGAAAATTTTCCCCAGCGAAAACCACCTATTTCTTCGCTACGATGAGCTCTGCCCGCTTCGTTATGGACCCTGCCTGTGCTCCGACACCCGAAATTTCAATACACTTTCAAAAAACATCGAATTTCAAGCAACTTACTTGAGAATTTTGGCCTCGTTCTTGGCATATGTCTTTGGGTTTTAATCATATATGAGGCGATTCGCTGTCGCTTCTGTCGAAGGCTTGTTCGTCGTTTTTCGGGCGATTCTGGCTCGGTGTTTCTTGTGTTAGCTTCACCTAAACGGCGCAGAGTAATTCAGTAACTATTCAGTCCCAAACTCCCGCCTTTTCGCTTCCGGGAGAGCGAAAATCTAAGGCCTACCTTGGTCAGCATTTTGGGGTTGCGTCCTCAATGCTTGCTGTAGATGTGCTATGTATTTTATTGCTTCTTCTATTACTTGAATCTAGAAAAAATATAAAAACCCAAGCGTCAATGTTACAGCCACAGCTAAGAGAGATATTTCCATTGCTTTACGAGAGAGCTAGTGAGACTTACCTTAGACACGCGCGATTTACAAGCGACTGAAGGTACCAGAGATCGTAGCCTGGCGTATTCCATCATTTTAATATTTCTATTGTAAGTCCGAACACAATCCTTAAGGATACGTGTTCTATGATCCTCCATATCATTGCTCTGTGGATTTTCTCTGCTAGGCATTGTAAGAACCTTCAAAATAATAGACAACAAAAATTCATTGTAGAAAAAATCCGGGGACTCGAACCGACTACTAGAGTCAGTGCCGGGGAGCGATGTGGTAGGCTAGAATTCAGACGATTTCACACGTATTTTTTCCGTTTCTTTACGAAAAACGTATTCCTAGAATAAAAAAAACTGAGGATCTACTTACAGGTTCTTGGCTATTGTTGTAGCGGGTTTGATGGAACGCTGTATTGCTTATTGTTTTGGTCTATCGTAGTTCTCAACCTCTTACTTTAGTGACAAACGTACGAGTGAAAAGTTTCTTTCTGGCGCTAACTATAAATTACCAATATTACAATTATTCTCTGCACCTGTAAACCGGCACCAAGACAATGTATTTATAAACACAGCTTGGCTAAGCCAATAGGAAGCGAGAATAGTGTAGTTAACAATTAAATGAACCCGCCTTCTGGCCAATCAGAGTGCAGTACATAAGACTAGCGAACCAGTAGCAAAAAAGTTAATGAAGTCCGTAGAAAACGTTCTCGGCGCACAGCCTGTTGACACACGCACCGCTGGCGCACAGTTTCAAACCATTATCTTTGTCTTTCGCAACTGAAAAAAAGTTTCTTAGTTTATTCAGCATTTTAAAAAGGTGTAAYGCCGAGTGGAAACCATGTTAGCGGCCACAGTTGAAACGATAATGAATAATTGTGGTTTTGAAGGAAAGATAAGATCACATAGAACTCAGAACAAATGTGTTTGTCGATAGTGAAATTCCGTCTTAAAAAGTTCTGTTTCTAAGCACCCGGCGATCATAAAGGAAACTGTCTCTAAGAACAAAATATATTTTTTTGCCAAACTTTATGCTTTGACTGTAATTCTACATCAGCCTTTCCAGATCAAAATGTTCCAACCGAAAACAGATTTTTTCATAACGAAGACTAAAGTTTTATAAGAAGGGAAAAAGAAACTCGTACTATCGATTATTATTATATCATTGTGAAACTCTTTATGCGGTTCTTTAAAAATACGAAAATGAAAGCTAAAAAGCCTATAAAAAGACCACTCGGTTTGTCGACCGATTTTGAAGGGGAAAAAAACATTCAAACTTTTTTTTACTTTCAATTTACTTTTTCAACTTTCAGYTTATGAATCATTTTACAAAGCGGTGTTCATAATTTTTTCTCTCTTTCGGGTGGAAAGGAAAAGATCTGGCCACGTTGTTGCTCTAGCTTTTGATTATCATTTTGTCAAGCGCAGCTGGCGATTCTACTTTCATTCGTTGGTTTTTTCAATATTGTTTTTGAATGAGTTTCTCACATTTTTTCTGGTGGCATAATTTTCCTTAGAAACAGAAAAAAGACAAATTGGCTTTTTCTCTGTACAAGTAGAAAACGTTCAACTGGTATGAAACAACACCATCTGTTAGAAACTCCTTTTTCTTGAGTTGAAGTATTATTGAGTAAATTTTGTATATTGAATTTATTCCAAAGGTTATTTTCGTTTCTTTTTTCTGGTATTATTCGCGCGCGTTTCTCATCCGGTATCTCTAACTAGTTTCGTGTGACAATTCAGTTATCGTATAATTGTATGAATGTCGTATTTACAAGTTTTGAACAGCGATTTTACCAACTTTTAATACAGTTTTTATCGGGTTTTTGATCACATCAAAGTGTCATCCACTGTTTTCATTCTTTACGCTAAAGTACCTATTTTTAATAAGATTTCGCTTCCTCATAGAATATATATATATATATGTAACTCGTAAAATAATCTTAAAAAGACAAAGAAGTATGCTGTGAGCTTATTCCCGTTCTTTGCCTAGAATTGAAAGTCAAAACCTCTTGCCGGATATCATCAGACTTAATCTTGCTTTTGAATTGAATGGAAAGCTTGCTTGGCACGCTTCATCCTTGTGAAGAACTTCCTCAGATTACGATAGTAACGTCTCTTTCAGTCTCTTTCATTCATCACTTTACGTAATTTCCCACCCTTCCTCTACTTTCTCTCTTTCCTCTAACTTCCCCTTAATCCCTCTTCTCCTATCAGGCCCTATCACGCTCAATCTTTTTCCGTCCATTTACCTTGGCCAATTTTCACCCTTCTCGTACTTTCTCAGGCGTAATAATTACTTCCTACTTACTATTTCTACCATATTATCGCCTTGTTTGGTACGTGTTTCTATACACAATTATATTTGAGACACTATTTCCTTTAATTGGCGCTGATAACTATACAATTTCTTATTTTGATTCACGAACTTGTAAAAACGGGAATGAAGYATTTTTAGGAACTGTGTTCAAAATTAAATCTGTCAACGTTAGAGTAAGCACTAAAGGGTCGATGCTATGGTAGCAATTTGATAAATTAAACTGTTTAACAACCTACCTTAACTATACGATTCCTTATTTTGAATCAGAAACTTGTAAAAACTGGACTATAAATACTGAAGCATTTTTAGAAAATTTAAAATCAAATCTATCAACTTTAGACTAAGTAACAAAGGACCGAAGCCATGGTAGTTAGCAATTTGATAAAATTACATTGTTTAGCAACCTAACTTATAACAGTTGTAGTATTGTTCACACTCTTTTGTTTTCGACGCTTAAATATCAACACAACACGTTGAAATTGGCTCATGAAGCGATACAAATTAGACGCCCCAAGGACACTTTATTGTCTTTTCCTCTTTCAACAAACACAGTAGACCCTGTATAAATCACGACCGTTTGGTAGACGGCAAGTCATCATTATCATAATCAAAACAGGAGTGATGTTTTAATGTCCTAGAGATTGAAAAAGAGGGGGAATTTCTTGGAAAAAAAAAAAAGTGACTGCTAAACCGACTAAAATACTTTTAAATAGATAATATCACCCGTAAACGCGACTTTTAACTTTTAATTATCGTTAGAGGTCCTTCAAACCGCATTGTTTTCGAGATGAAAAGAGCAGTCGTATCTGACATGACAGCTGCACAGCGATAGCCCTGATAACAAGTTTCAACTTAACATGCGTTCTTTCTGGTTATAACCTGTATAAAGATTGTAAACAACACTCACACCGACTGATTGCATGCATGCCATTTGTCTTGTTCACAGTTCAGGCTGACTTTAGGACAGGCCGAACAGTTTAAGTCTATCAAAGTGAAAACAATTGTAGTGTCAAGTCTTGTGGTTCGAAACCTTTTCGATCTTTTGTCTCGGCATCATCGCGGCTCACCTTCGAGACGTTATCACCAAATAATTCTCTTTCAAATTACCGCTCTCTTTCACTTTTAAAAGACTTCATTTTCCTTTTCTAGCTAAAGAGTATTTTTAGTCTTTGTTTCAAAAAAACAAACCGCCATTGATACTCACAAAAGAAACACGTGGCGCTGAACCGGAAGTCAGTATCGAACCGGAAGTAATACTGCTCCAAACRTTTACATATGATTCAAAGCGGCGTTGAGTCCAGCTTCACAGCAGTGTAAACGGTGCCCATTTAAATGTTGAAAAAAGAGTTTTGTTGAAATGCTTTGAAAGGTTTGTGGATTGGTTGTTGGGTAATGGCGGAACAGGTGAAAAGCTGTTGAAAAATAAAGCACTTTTCTGGCTTGCCCTCTGCACAAACACAGCTAGAATTGTCGCTAAAAACTTAGTAAGTCTGTGTGTTGTACATGGATTAAATCTTAAGGATGAAACTCAGTGAATACGGTTAAAATTATAAAATATATAGAGAGAATAAAATAGTTTTAAGCCACTATAAGATTGGATAGGAAAAAGCGTTTTAATTGGAGTTGGGTACGTACGACAAAATTTCGTACACAGACTAAAGTGAAAGGGTAAGCTGTAAAGACACAAAATTTATAGAAAAGAAAATTAAACAAAAAGAGAATGAAAATACCGAAACCACCTTGCAAGAGAAGTCTTTTGATCTCTGTATTAAAAACAACCGTGTTTTTCACTTTTAATCGCGGTAATGGAAAAATTTCTAATTGCTATCGACGAAATAAAAACATGTAAAAGTGCCTCTTAGAGCTTGTTATACTATCGGTTGTAATTCCTACGATTCCAATTGCTTCTGTTTTAGCTTTAGTCGAAAGCCCGGAAATTTTATAAGCTGTGTTCTAAAATCAAAATGAAATATAAATTTGTAGTTTTGTTATCACTTGAATTTAACTTTCGTTTATCGAACGTGTTATATTTGACTATGAAAGATCGACAAAAGATCAATGATCATTGCCTATTGATTGATTTTCGCTTAGCGCTCAATAATAATTAAATAATGAATATTGAACTACGTGGATAATTGTTATTTCAGTTTATTCTAAAAATGTTTTAAACTTAAGTTTAAAAGCTTAGATTTTTGGAATGTAAATAAATTGTACGCGTTGTATCGTGGTCTTTAGAGCATAGTTTATTGAGGGGAGGGGTGGGTAGTGAGCTAAATTTGTCATTTGGGGGAGGGGGGAGCCAAGAAAGTGGAGTATTTACACTAATACTCTCTCTGCAATGCCAGTGTTCTTTAAATAATAAGAATTGCCACGTCTCGAACTTTAATTACTGGTATCAAGTAAAGCTACTGAGTATTTTTTAATGAACAATATTAAAAATTGGAAACTTAAAGAAAAATATCAAGAAATAGAAGATACTATTGAGCGGGTTTTTATTTATTATTTTTAGCAGAATCGTGGAATCGCGGAAGTGCGTGGTCCGCTTAAGAGAGGTTTAAAAGTGCTTACTTAGACAGCACGTGTAATGAATTTAGATACTAAGGTAGTTAAGACAGGTTTAGGTTATGGAAATGTTTGCGCAAAAGCGATATAGTTCACTTCAAAGTGCCATAACCTTTTAAGTACCCGAGGATGTACTTCCAGTTTTTCTTAGGTTTGTGCTAGCCTCCTACGCAGGTAACTCTTACTCTCCGTTCTCAAGCCCGCATAACTCCCTAACGGGCTTCCTTTACCAACGAAATGCGAGAGTACTGGACACGAGCTAGATTTTGTTTCTTTGTTCCCAGGCTCCTGTAATTATAAAGAGAGAGGGAGAGAAACGCAGACTGAGATGCCTGTAGAGGAGGCTAGGTTTGTGAACACGTCAAAATCCGAGAACCGTTAATGCTCGCGCCACAAAGCCGATGATGATGAGGAAGTGCCTTGCCGGGATTAAATACCCGGCAGTTTTTTAATTTGAGGGCTTTCTCAACTAAAACGAATTCTAATCGAATCAAAGTATTGTATCTTTGTACTTCACAAGCAAATATTTTCAACTTTTAATAGATTTTAATTTGAAGTGTTTGTATTTCCTCGGTGCAGTAAGACAATCATAAAGAAAGAAATGGTTTGTATTCTTTAAGTAGATTTTTGACTCAAAATCCGTTGCAGAATTTTCTTCTTAGTTAATTCTGTGTTCCACGACTAGTGTGAACGTGTGCGCACGCGACCAGAATTTCCCCTCCCTTTTCTCTCCCCGCCTTCAAAGCCCCTCTACGYAGGCTAATTATTACACTCCTGTAAACGACCTTGTTTTCAGTATCAAGGAAGGAATGTTAATCTAGATATTCTAGCTTTCGACCCATAAGCTTACATTCTGCTGCAATTTGAAGCGGGTCGTCTACTGATCGAGAGCTTCTCATAAATCGTATTTAATAGGTAGGGCAAACTACTATCAATCATCCATTCCCTCTTTTGGCAAAACTTTGCTATGAAGAGTTTTTGGAAAATATGTTCGTGGAAAGCTTATTAGAAGCTCTTCTTATATTAAGGATATTTTAAAAGTACAATGAACACTGTATAAAGATGAGAATGGTATCTTAGCTGGGACATTGTGGTGCAAAACCTTTACAAAGTCGAGTTATGAAAAGAGTTTGATACTYAACGGAGCTACAAATACAACGGGAAATTTGCCTACATTTCATAGAGAGACTAAATGAGTTAAAGAGATTATTTACATGATTGATGTAATATTTTCAATTTTTCGTCAATGAAAGCTGTCTCGTCGTTTGAGATTGCGCCCAAGACGCGCGCAGTCCAGTGCACGCTATGTCCTTGAGTCGCTTATGGCAGCCTCAATACTAGTGGTCGACTCTGGCTTTACCTTATTCCTTAAATTTTAAGTCAGCGTGGGTTTCAAAAGAAAATATCAGCACCACACTTAGAATAAAAGAGCGCGCAAAGGCGCAATGCTTCTTCTCAATGCTTAAATATATTATCTGAATTTTTAAGCAATTGAGAAACATCCTTGAACGTAGTAAATGGTTGGACTTGACAGCCCATTTTGATTCGTGTATTACAGTAATAATAAAAACGCAAGCGCAGATTGTATTCACCTATGAATGCGTACATAATCTTCTGCGTGCTTTTGTAAAAAAAAGGTCAGCAATGAAACTACAGACTATTGCACATATATGCCCGATACAGGCTAATACAGTAACCAATAGCTGATGGCTTGCATTCTTCTTTCTTGCGCACTTGCTGCACTTCAGTTTCGCTTGAAGGGGGATGTGAAAAGCTGGCTTTATGCATACAAAAATTTTTAAAAAAGGTTGGTGAAGGTTTTGCTTGCATGTCGCATAGCAACCCTGAAATGTACTATAGGCGATGTGAATGCAATCAGCGAAAAGTCACAATTATTATAAGGAATTTTCCCAAACTCTATCTGCACATTTTCCCGGCATATTTTATTCTGTGCTGACATTATTTATTCATGACTATAATACATTTCAAGCTTAATAAAGCACTCAACTTTGTATGCATTGTCACAAATAAATTTCGAATTTGCATATCATTGATCGGGATTGCGCGCACTGTAATTGTTTTCCAAAAGTGCTGACGTATGTGATGTAGTATTGTAATATTACTGTTCAGATTTATATCTAGCATGCGCTGCTGGCGCCGACCGCAGATCGCCAACCAACGTAGACTAAGAATTCTGTTTTTTCACAAGCCTTTTCTTCGAAAATTACCGATCCGCCAACTTCATACTTTAACAAAAGTCTTTGCTCTTTCGAAATTATGTGATTCTTGAGTGTTATTGACTTTGGACGATCCGCATGTGCATTTTCCTCGTATGGTAAAAGGTAAGTTCTTGTGTCTAGTCTGATTTGGTAAGAGTACAGCATATGTATCGGTATCTCCTGCGTGAACCTTCTTTTTGAATTCGAAATCCTTGTAAAAATTCCTTATTGTCACAATAAACATCAGGTTGATTGTTTTCCCAGTCATTCGTTTCTATCCATGTCGTATATCTCGGACTACAAGAGAAGTTATTAAAATCCCCGGGAGGTCCTGGCCTGCCAATGCGTCCACGTTGTCCAATAGATCCCTTTTCTCCTTTTGAGCCTGTGTTTCCTTCCAATCCCGGAGGGCCCGTTAGCCCGGGTAGACCTTGGTTACCCTTAGGTCCTTCTTCTCCCTTGCGCCCGGGTAAACAATAAAACATCGGAGAGGCGACTTTTCCAACATTAGATTTTTTTATGCAGTTACCCGGAAGTCCTGTTGGTCCTGTTTCTCCTTTAGGCCCCGATATACCCTGGGAAAAAAATTAAATTACCACAAAATTGGTAGGAATTTTGCCTAACTTCTAGAAAAATAATGTTAAGTATCTGTGTAGAACACTTTAATCGTTTGGGCTCCCTGTTTTGCACGAAGAAGAAAAGTCCTAAAAAAGAGCTTAAATCATTTAGGTCCCGGATGTGTAGACGCGTCGTTTTCCCGCGCCATTTTTAAAATTAAAATTGTATCAAAACAAAAACTTCAAAAGATAAAAGGTAAGAAAATTCTTACTTCAAAATATGGCTCTAAATTCAATTATATTTCTTTTGTATGTAAGATATTTATCAGATAATTCATGGTGTTACTTAGGGAACATAAAAATAATTCTTTTGCATGTATCTAAAATGATTTTTTGCGTGCAGTCAGTTCAAATGTAAACAAAATTTAGTCCAGTTTAAAAGTACATTTTTAAAACTCAATATAACGAAAATCAAAAAATTGATGATCAAAAAATTGAAAAACTTTTTTAAAGAAGAAAACACAAATCTATAAAAGAATGAAGATTTCTGAATGTGAACTTATCCATATGCTAATTACAGTATTGATAATATAAGTAAGATACAAAGAAATTTATTTTAATAAATTAACACTACACTGTAAATCGTAACCTCAATATATTCTTGAGGTGCAACCACATGACTCAAAATCCTTGAGATAAAAATAACACTGAAATAACAATGAAACAGGCGCCATGTTGGTTGATCTTAAAAGAGAAGCTAATGGCGGCTTAACATCCAAGCAAAGAATTGCAGATCAATGTTGTTGGTGATGATGATAATGATAATCCAATTCTTGGGGTGCAACCACATGTAATATATACAGTATGAGTGGCTGTGTTGTATCAGATATACAAACTCAAGGCTTAAGATTGCTTGTCAAACGTCTAGGTTAATTCCTTCGTGTTTCAATAACATTTTCAAAATTAAAGTGAATCTGGCCAAGAAAATCCAACTTGAAGTTTATGCAAATGAACACAGTTTTGTATCAGATTTACAACACTCTTCACGGTCGTGATTTCTGTTGTGCTTTGCTCATCAATTATTAAGGAGTTTGACAAACTTATATACAGTATTTACCTTTACTCCTGGAAACCCTCTTTCACCTTTTATGCCAATTGGTCCAGGAGGTCCAACGATACCTTGTGGTCCTGGCTACAAAAAAGATCAGAAAGAAATGTTTAACCTTATTCAATATTTGAGGTTCATATCATGTGTAGTTCCAGAAATCATCCATGCATTCCCACCCCACAAAGGAATTTGGAATTCCAGAAGAGTAGGGGGGTCAGAAAAAAACAAAAAATTACAGAGTTTGTATGTAAGAAAATTTGAATTTCCAGGGAGTAGGGGGGGGGGGGGTCTTAAAAAAATTCCTCCTTGAGGGCAGTATGAATAATTTTTGGAACTACACAATAGTAAAAAAATAACTTTAATACTTATATTATGCCTGGGCTTTCAGAATGTTTTGGAGCTGGTCATAAGTCTGAAGTAGATGGCTGTGATGTGATACAAGCAGAAGGTATTTTATAGAAAAAGAGTATAGTAGAATGGAAGCAATTGACTGAGTTCAGCTGTCAGCTTATTCTGAAAGCCCTGTAACTCTGTTCCATTTGGATATATGCTCACATGCACAATATGATTTATGATGTCATAGCTGCCATGTTCCTCATCAACTTAAAAAAATTGGATTTGCTTTTTTTATATACATGAATATATGAGTTGCTGATATACAGATACAATTGTATATTGCTCATGCATAATATTAAATTTCTTGGAGTCGAGTATAATTTCATGTTATAATATAATGTAATGTAATGAAATGTAATGTAATATAATATAATTTAATCAATGATAATAATATATCAATGAGAACATGGTTATTACTCTTAGTGAGAAGTGAGTAAAATGTATAATAAATGCTAGTTATATACTTACAAGACCTTTGGTCCCTGGTATTCCAGGCCTTCCATCTCTTCCATCAGCACCCTGAGTAATGTTAAATTGAAATATTAGTTTATTTCATTTAGAATTCAAAATATAAATTTATTTTATTTTATTTTCAATAAACTTTAAACTTATAAACTCATATTATAAACTTATATTTTACAACCACCACTCCCCATGCGGGGCTCTTCCGTGAGGTTCCTCCACACGCACTACCACTACATTCTATATTTACAACATACAACACTCAACTCTGTTTTTTTTTTTTCACTGTTGCTTTTTATGGAGGGAGGAAACCGGAGATCCTGGAGAAAACCGTTGTGGCAAGGGAGAGAACAACACAACAAACAAACTCAACTCACATATGATCCAGTCTGAGCCAGGGCTCGAACCCGGACCACAGTGGTGAGAGGCGAGCGGTAAACCACTACACCACCCATTCCACCCACACTTTACAGTCAAGTGAGCATAAAATTATGAATGATAGATTAACAAAACCTAGCATAAATGGATAAAAAGAAAAAGAAAATAAATACACTACACTTTGCAACACTGGTTGAAGACTGACCAGAAGACACTGGATCCCATACAAAGGTCAACCAAAAATTGTAATGTTAAACCATGGTTAAATCGAAAAAAATACCACAGTTATTGGCATATTAAGGTATATAAGTTTTTCAACTTACTGGAGGCCCTGTTGCACCTCTTTTGCCTGCTTTTCCTTTTTGTCCAGTTTTTCCTTTGTTTCCACGAGGGCCTCGCTTGCCACGCTCACAAGAGCATTTCTGAAAGTTAAGGGAAACAATAAACTAAATAAGTGCATGAACAATTATTTTCTCCTCATTCCCCTTAATTTTCAGGGCTTTAAGGGCTACGAATTCTTTTAATGCCATCCCATCCATCCCTCCCTCCATCCATCCCTCCATCCCTTTCTCCATCCCTCTTTCCATCCCTCCATCCCTCCATCCCTCCATCCCTCCATCCCTCCATCTATCCATCTCTCCCACCCTCCCCCTCCCTCTCACCCACCCTCCAGTTATCCATCCATCCATCCATCCATCCACCCACACTCAGTCCCTCATGCGTTCATGCGCCACTCATTAATCATTTGCATTTTGTCATATTATTTATTAATGCAAATATTACACTAATGAATATTGTAATAGAGATGGTCATAGTATGTATTTGGTATCTAGCATGAACTTAAAGTAGTTTATCTCTTTATTTCACCCGCATGTAAAACAAAAACATGCACACCATCCTGATGATGCTTGCTTCAACCTTACCATCTTACCTTTGTTACCTTTTCATCGTTCATATGATTGTTTACATCAAAACCTCTTATATCATCAACAGTGTCTGTTAGTTTCTCGTTACTCTGACTCTTACTTTTGATGTTCTGTGTAATAAACAGATCAAAGGTTTTTGCAGGCTACCTGCTCTCACCTGTGACTTTGTCTGGCACTCGAACTGTATAAACCGACCGACCGACCGACAAACAAATCGACCATTCGACCGCGCACATGTAACTTGCATAGCCTTGATCTATTTACTACAACATGTAATTACTAATACTAATGTAATTTGTAATTTTGCTATGACGTCACACGTTAAAACAATCTTTTGTTTTAACACTAAGAAGCATGGTAGTAGGAGGGGTCAAAACAGAAACAACACAAAGACTGAAAACTGAGAAAAATTGTATTTTTAGAACTTGGACAAGCGATAATATTAACCAAATGCCATATATATTGTAGGATAAAAAGTTTGAAAGCCAGACATATCATAGCTGTCAATTCAGCTTGAGAGTGAAGTTAGTCCAAATTCTTATTGTTCTTTACTATTTTGTCCCCCTTATAAACAAGCTGTGACGTCATAGTGAAATTATTTCTTAATATTAAGTCTTGTTTTGAACACTTTGACTTGCGTTTTGTGTGAACTATGCTTCATGCTTTTTCTTGTTTTCATCAGTAAAACTTAAATAATTTCGATAGGAAGGCGTAACTTTTGAATTACATCCTTGTATGCACTGTCAAAACTTAGCTTGGACGTTATAATATAATGCTTAATTATAGATACACCTCAAACAAAAATTTCTGAAGAAAATTGACACGTGGTCTGGAGCACAGGGAGCACAATTGGGATTCAGTAAACTAAGATCGACTTTGTGGAATTATACATAAATTCTACCGCGAAATCCAATGATTTAATTTGATATCATTAAGTTGGTGATGTTAGGTGATGTTTTGATCTCGCAAAGAAATCTAATTCTCACACTCTGTTTTTTCCACGCTTTCATTGTGCCATTACATTACCATACAAACAGGGTTAAAAGATTGGGTGTAGATTAAAAAGGTGCATAAATGTGCATACTACTGAAATAGCAGATATCTGAGTTACACGAGCTCTAACGCGACTACTTCAACAATACTGCGGCCATCTTGCCAAGGGGGGGAAACAAAACAAAGAGTGATAGTGTTTGCCTTTCTATTATGGGTAAAGGTGATCGACGTCCATCTTAATTCATCTTTTGTAGTATTCTCTACTTGTGCTTTGTTAATATCGATCGGATTCATTTTTGTAACAAAGGATCATTTGCCCCCTGGACTCCCCGTAATGCCTTGCGATCAAAGATGGCCGCCGTATCGTTGAAGTAGTCCATTGTCTTAAGGCGTGACATTTACGAGAGTTTCTACACATTTAATGTCTCGACTTACAGCAATGGTTTGAAGGCAATAGATTGTAACTCTGATATCTGCTATAGACCCCTTGCAGTACGTTGCAATGCAGCTCAATTTGGAGGACATAACAATAGGTTTCCAATTCTCATGAGATCGAAATCTCCGTTTGTGGTCAAACATTGGTCGCATTTTGATTTGTAAATAGCTACGAAGATTGGTTATTTCATATAAAGAGAAACAAGACGTTGGGTTGACAAGTTGACAAGTTGTATAGATGATCTTTATTAGACCGCGCTGGAAACGTTTTGTCTTCCAAATGGAGCTGCTTTGATGTCACATGCAAGGGGGTCTATTAATTAAGTGAGAGATGTGCGTTTGGGGATCACGAAAGTTATGGCCGCCATATTGAAATGGCAATAGTTATACAATGCTTTCAAAAAATGCTACAAAATGCGAGTGACGCATGTGATATTTCATATTATAACATAGCCACGACATAACGCGCGCTCTGATTGGTTAATTAGCGTGCGCAAGGCGTACATCCAGAAATGGATGGTACACGCTGACGTGATTGAGTACAGCGCGCTATGTCAGTAATAAAGATTTCATTACAAAAAAATTTGAATTTTTTCATCAACGATTTTTTTTTTTACAGTTTTGCTATGTTATAATCCTTTAATATACCACTCGAAAGCATTGTATAACTTGTACGTAAACCATGATTTTATGATTAGTACTCCATTATGTTGTGCTCGTCACAGGTGCGGTGTGCTCTATATACAGTCATTATGGCTAGTGCAAGTTACAAGTGCATCAAGAATCAAGTGCAAGACTAACACAGGTGAAAATCAAGGTACAACAATAAAAGTGCAATTACATATTAAATGATTATACTACTAGAGTGCATACCATTATATTTCCGTGAAAAACACCGAAAGAAAATTCACAAATTTGCACAAATTAGTATGGGAAAAGTGTTGGCTGGTAAGCTTTTGCCATCCAGCGCATTTTCCCATACAAATCCTTATAAAACATTAAATTTTATATCTAATACCATTTCTCCTGTTTCGCTTATTATGAGCTGGCCGTCCGCCTCCCTACTAATGCCGAGATGTTCTGTTCATTTCTGGTTTTTTTTTGACAAAACTGCTCGTTTTAAGGAAGTAGTTTCACGTGACCAGCTAGTGCAAGTCGTCTATTGTATCTAAGAGGAGCCATGTGTGCTTGCYGAACGATATAAATTCCTCCAAGACTGAGAAACCAAACAAATTATAAATGTCGCATGGCAACATTTTTCGTCATTACAGAGTTCTCCACATACTGGACAATTCTTTAAATAGGTTATTTTAGATAGCGTGCACGATGTACGCACCGTTGTGGCGTCGCAGATAACAATCCGTTCAAACAATTCCCCTCTATATCACATGCGCGTAATGGATTTGCTTCTCTTAGGAATCTTATGATTGAAAAGTAGTTTGAGCTACAGAATAATACAGTGCGTGAGAAAATCTACTAAAACATCAGAAACAATTATTCTAGCAATGAGTAACAACTTGTGCAGTGTCTTCTTATCCATCGAACTATTAATACACTACTTTTACTTATTATTGATGCGCTGACCCTTACRAAACCATGATTAATTATTCGGACAAATGCGCTAAAGTCCACTGGCTCCTCGCTGGGCATGATATTGATTACGTCCAAAAAAGCCAGTTTGCGTGAACTCTAACTGCGTGTTTGTTATAATAGTTCCACAGCACGCAAAGAATACCTTAGAATAGTCATGCTGGGTAAAAAGTACGTATTATCCCAGACATTTCCTTAAGAATACTATGAAATCCATTCCCTGTAGAGAATGAAACAGTGAAAGAATCTTATCAACGTATCCTAACAGTGCATTGAACCTCTCGTCTGGATTTTTAGTGATACTGTAAACAGAATACACCGCAGGCGAAATCTAAGTAACCGATTCTCCATCTGCTTTCTTACGTAAATTCGTTGAATATCAAGGACCTCTAGACGCTATCGTTTAGCCATCGATTCTCAACTCGCGCAGTGTTCATGAAGGAACCATTAATTACCCCAACCGTCAAGATAATCAAAAACAGATAGATTATTTTAATTGCACAAACACTTGTTAAATTCTTTTCAAGCAGCTTGGATTAGTTTCGCATTTATTGTTTTATCAACTGACATATAAATGTCGATAAAAGTGAGTCACGCGCGAGTCTGAAGTTTTTGTTCTGGCTCTGGTGACGAGTAATCAATTTTCCATGTTCGTTACTTTGCGTGATATATATAGGTGTAATTAGTTTTTCATTTGAGGTCTTGGATGCGGTCAGTATTGGTATCAATTTGTCGTTTATTCACGGACGTTCGGAAACCTACATTTTAATTGATGCTTTCTGTACGAACGCTTAGTGCGTTAATAACATCCAAAACACCGAGCGTCTCGGCCTCAAGGCATGCATGAACGAACGAGCAAGAAGTGTCGTATAGAAACGCTGCTTTTCGTTAGAAACACATTTCTTTCCGCGTTTGTCTTTGCGCAACGTGGRGTTCTTCCTGGAAATGTCCTTCTTTCTTTCACGAGCGTCGGTTTTCATACACTTTTTTTGAAGAAGAAATTAAACGTTGCGTGCGGGCTTCAATCCGAGAAGCAAACTTCAATGAAATGGATGTTCCTGCGGCCTTCTTTCTTCGTTAACGTATTGTTTAGTCCATGCATGTGTTTAGGCGGAGTTAGTACGGTATATTGGCAATTTAACGCACTTTCTTGGCACTGTTACACATGCCCCAGGCTCGATCCCCGCACATATGATCGCCAAGTCATACGTGAATTGCTTTTGGTCATATCTGTCAGGGCTTTGTTTTTTTATCCTTCCTTTTAAACAAACATCTCTAAATACTTCCTATTGAAGGTTTTCCGAGCGACATTCCACATTGAATTCATCTTACTACGGTCAGACTTTTGTCAGTAATTCATTCACGTCTTTTTACGGTACTGTCCCTGCATGTACTAAATTACTGGCCATTAAAAGTAGCGTTGCCCCAAGCAAAATTATCTCCTTTGTCTAAAAACTGTTTTTACGAAATGCGCAAGCATTAGTTCTTAAAAAAATGAAGCTCCAAATCTTTTTTTTTTTWAACTGAGGCTACTCTTTGCGCACCAGTTCTTAAGCTTAAACTGAGCTGCGCTAGACCGTTCTCTATACGGCAGCATACGTTCTTGCATTGCTAAATTTAAATTTTACCAATAAAATTTAAAATACTTATCATGACACAAAGTGGGCTTAAATTTCTATACTTATGAAAGTTGACACGAACGTAAACCCTTATCAATGGAGACTGAGACTAAGTGTTTGAATGAATGCCAAAAATAACTGCAAACAAATGCGGAAATGTGGCATAAGAAACCTTTGTCAAGTCTTTCATTATCAAATCCATTTACAAAACAATGAAGAAATTCCTGAGGCGCACTTTCAAAATCAAGAACATGTTATCAATTAGTATGACTGTTAACAGTTCTCTCACTCCTCTTTGATTGGTTCATAACTACCTCATAGTAGCATACCATGAATTATATTTCAAAGCTTATCTAATTTGACTGTTGAATCACGTTAAAAGATATCTTAATCCGTTTTTTTTTTAAGTAGTAATACATGAATGATATATATACATGAAAAGAGTTTAATATATTGATGTGAAAAATCTTCAA